GCAGGCTTGAGAGACTACGTCACCTACTCTAGCTCCTTGTTTGTGTGAAACATCAAATGTAATAATGACCAGAATTTATTTCTTCTAATGTTGGTTGCACAGACAAGCAAGAGGCCAGACCATTGGGCACTGTACCTGGAAGGGATACCATACAGATATGTGCACACACAGACTTATAATGTTTAAACTTTAACTGATGCACAGGAAGGGAATGTTTGAAAAATTCAACAGGCCTAATAACATCTATGGAGACAGAAACAGAGCTGACACTTCCAGTCTAGTAAGACTCTTCTTCAGAAGGCTTAAACTTTAGCTGTTTTCCAAACACTGCAGAGCTCTTCCCAACTTGTCCATGTTGGTTCTGTTTCTCTAGACGGAAAAACAAAAATCAAAGACTGTGGATGCTGGAAATCAGAAACACAAACTGTAATTTCTGGAAAGACTCAGCAGGTCTACTACTATCTGTGGAGAGAAAACAAAGTGAAAGTGAACAACCCCCAAGGCTTGGTGAACTCTGCTTCACATTGATAGCAACAGCCACTTCTGCCGCCACAAGCCAGTCAGTCATCGCTGTGGTAACTTTCTGACACCTGCTGCTTAAAACCCAAAAGGTCAGAAGGATCTGGAGGCTGTGCTTTCACGGCCTGAAAACGAACATCAGGCTAGCTTCTGCGCCATGGGAGGTTTCTGTCACTTATGAGCTCGCCTTAAGACACCTGCGCGACGGTGTGACACTCCATAAACCTCAGATTTTCCAGCAATTTCTATTCGTACCCACAATTTGGATATTACTGTTGTAGCCCACACGCAGTAAATACCTCCTACCTCGTCCCTGTGAATCTACCAGCGGCCTAAACGGTCGACTGTAGCCCCGCCCACATACATCACGCAGGCGCACTGGTGCTGGTTGCCCCGCCCCCACGCACACTCTACGCAGGCGCATGGCCTCCGACACGCCCCCTCGGTCCTCCGTGCAGACGCACGGGCGGTCGCTCACGGCCCCGCCCCCTCCTACTGAGCAGGCGCGCTGGTGGCACGTGACCGTCCGGGCTGGAGCCGCGCGGGGGAAATGGCCGCAGCCGCCGCTCCGTCCCTCAGCGCCATCGCTAACGACACTCAGAGCCAGGCGGCGGCGGTGGCGGTGGCAGCAGGGGGGACCGGTAAGAGCTGCCGCTCGGAAGCCAAGTGCGGCGGTGCTGGTAACGCCGGCAGTGGTAGTAGCCGTTCCCAGGCCGTTTTGAGGCAGCAGCAGCAGCAGCAACAACTCCGGCAGCGGCGGGACGAGGAGGAGAGTGAGCCCGAGGCTGGCGGCCCGCAAGCTTCAGGCTCCCCAAGTGGACACAGGGCCACGGGGGCTTCCAACTCCGGGCCGTCCCGCAACCTTCCTCAACAGCAGCAACAAGCGGCCAAAAGCTGCAGCGGGGCCCCCAGGAGCGGCCAGCAGCAACAGCAGCAGCAGCAACAACGGGGCCGGGAGGAGGCGGCGGCCGCTGTGTCCGCTGGTAACAGGAGGCAGAGTCTGGAGAACTCGTCAGACGGGGAACCACTGAGCCGCATGGACTCAGAGGACAGGTGAGGGGGCGGGGGTTAGGCACTCTCCGGTCTCCCTCTTTCACCGGGGCTCAAGCTTCTCAGACGAAGATGAAATGTAGACCTTTCTTCTCTTTTCTACCGTCTCCCTTCCAGCCGTGGGGCGATTTAGATTCTTCCCCACCCCCACGCTCTGTATTATACCCCTTGCCCTTCTCCTGTCCCGTCCTCTGCTTCAAGAACCGAAATAGCTGTCCCCGATTCAAAAGCGTTCCTTTTTTTTGTCTCCCCAGCCCTTGAGTTCAATTGCCGAAAAGTATTCGTTCTTTCAAACTAATGTCCTTTTGTCGGAAAGGGTACTTGTATGTTTTGTCGTTGGGGGATGCTATAAAGATAAAATAAAAAGCATACTCTCAGCCCTGCTTTTTATCGGAGTTTTTGGGGTAGCGGAGGTGGTGGTAGTGTTCTGTGAAATTTACACGACGCCTTCTCGGGAGTTTTGAGGTGTTCTCATCTTTGTTATGAGATGGCGTTTTCCGAGTTTTAAAAAACACCTGGAAAAGCCCAACTCTACGTAACCGTAACCTCAGTTGACTTGGTCATACCGATGACTTTTAATGTCAGCCATTCAGTAAGCAAAAGATTAGTCATAGTCCAGAATAAATCATACATGCCCTCATTGTGTTTGCTTCAAATCCCCACGCAGATGTGGTTTATTCATCGGCCTTTTAAGCTACAGCTTTTGCCGTAACATCGTGTCAGGTTCGTAAAATTGCAAATCAATGATTATTAGCGATACGTTTGTCTTTTAATAGGGCAGATCTCCCCTTTAAAATAGTGTTTTCGCGCAGCTGACACTTTGGATCCGAGTTACTGATACTCAGCTTCGTGTTTTAAATATGAAAAGTTGACTCTGTCAGCTTGGCTCATTTGATAAACTTGGATCTGACTCAAGGTCGTGGGTTCAAACCCCACACCAGTAATTAAGCATGTAATCTAAGGTGACACATCAGTGGGAACGCTGCATTGTCAAAACTGATCTCATTCAGATGATGTGAATTAAGGCATAAAAGATCTGTTACTCTGAAGAGCAGTAACTTCACCCAGCTTCTAAGCAATGATTCCTCCTTCATCTGATAACCGCATGAGCGCATTAACTATTCGTCGAATAAGTTTTTAATTTGTTTATCTACATATGAGCGTTTCAAATTAATCTGACCGTGAAGTGCTTGGGGATGTCCTGAGAAGCTTGGTGCCGTCCAGGGGAATGTTCAGATTAATTAAACTAGATTTCAAAGCTGTTAGTTGTCCTGGGAACTTGATGAAGCATTAGTATCAATTTTGTTCATAAATCGTTGCTCTTATTTTGGGTCAAGTTACAGATCGTTCTTATTACAACACAATGTAAGTAATAAGTAATTGTAGATTGTGTAATTTCTGTGGTGTAGGTAAACGTACAAGGTTGATGTGTTGTGTTTTTGCCATCTTATGAGCAAAAATTGACCATTCTGGAAGGAGCTTAATGACTTGTTTCAGGCTGACAGACTGATATCATAAATTTTGAAATATATTTAAATTATTGCAATACTATATAGTAGATATATTTTTAGTTTCCAGATCTCTCATGGTAGGAGTAATTCTTCGGATTTGTTTGCATTTTAAAGGCTGATTGCAATAAAATTAAACTGTCCAAAATTACCAGTAGTGATTAGTTTACGTTGTTGCAATCAAAAATCAAGCTACAATTGATTTAGTATTAGTAAAGAAGTCAATGAATTTATCAGGTGACGGATGACAAAACATTCATGTATTTAGCAGCACTGTTTATTCATGGCAATTTGTGGTATAGTTGTATTTATTTTGAAATAAATTATATTTGGTTTATTTTCATGTTACTTGTTGATCTTGTACATCAGTGCTGCTGAATGTCTGCAACTGCATAAACAGGTAAAATGCTGTTCATGAGAGAAGTTTACGCCAGCATTTGTTATATCTTGGTTTAATTTGAATGTAACATGAGCTTTGAAATAAAAAGAACAAGATCTCGCTCAAATTGGATAATTTGCAAAAGTTCTTTTTAATGTTCAAAGATATTCTTGAAATCAGAATTACATACAAGATTTTGATTTGCAGCCAGCTTTAGAATTGAGGAATTGGTGTGATATTTACCCGATAGTCTTGTGTGCAACTACAGTTTAGTAATATGTTCAATGATATTGTGTACATTACTGTTCCCTTTGTTTCTCAGTGCTTTGTGGCTGGTACTTGTTACTGTACTTTGATTAGCTAAAGGTGAGGTAACCACTATTAGTCATGTTGATGTGACCAAACACTACTTGGTGTCACTTTTGTTCAGCATAATTATATGGTTTCCAAGTGGATGTGTGTGAGAGAGAACAATTGTACTTTGGAACTGGACAGTAATGTGCAGCCTTGAGTCCCCAATGTTTCCCAGTCTCTTGTCTGTTTTTTGAGGTGGGAATGATCATGTTCTTCATCTAAGGTTTGTGGTAGGGTTTTGATGGGCATACAGGTGACTGCTAAGGCCAGCATGCAACCAGACAATTGTCTTGCAAATAATCCAGAACACTTGAGTTTTGGAAGAATTGCTGGCTTGGCATTTTCCTTTCTTTACACCTAAAACCTTCCAAGGGGCAGAACCTGTAAATCCACCCATTAAACTTGTAAAATGTCAAATAATATACAATGTTTCAGTTAGACCTTGAAAGCACACTTCATTTTTGGTTGCCGAAATACACATTCTGAGGAGAGTACAGAGAGCCACAAGCTACCAATGAGAAAACAAGTGGGAAAAGACAATATACTTGGCCTATTCAGTTTTAAAAGTAAACAAGTAAATACTAAAACAATGTGAAGTATGCTGTTACAGAAAATCTCACATTTGAAATAGTGAGAAACAAATTTAGACCATCTTTGACCACATTTCATCCAATAATGAACATACAGAATAGATTTTTGAATAGTGATGGATGCAAGGCGATTTGTTTAATTGATGGTTCAAAGCCCCATGGTTTTTCCTGATTTGGTGAGTCAATTGCCCTTCAATATCTGTCTTGTAATTTTGGCACTTGTCTTTTGAATAACTCTTCTGTTCCATTCATCCTGGAAAGTCCCCAAAATTTAAAAAGTACTTAACTTTTTATGTTGGAGCAAATTTAATATGGAGAATTGATTTTGTGTACTTGTATAGGAATCATTTAAAGCTAGTGATGCACATGTGTTATCTTGTTTTAATGTACATCTTCTGAATACTGGTTATATTTCATTGCAGCCTATCTAGTTAATTTGACACTGTATTCTGATTAAAAATTGCTTTACCAAAAATATTAGGTAATTTGAATTTAGTGGAAAAAGTGATTTACAACTATCAAGTCTGTACTTCTATGAAATTGAAAACCATGATCTCATTATCTCCCCACAGAAAGTGGTAATCACAATAAAACTCAATTTATTTGCATGTTGTATTCGGGTAATTATTATGCTGGAATTTATACATGGTTCTCACCATCTCTGTCTCTTCCCCCCACTCCCCGCCATGCAGTGCTTTTGTCTCTTATAAAAATATTTATTTTAGGCATAAGTTTTCTTCTCATCTGAGAATTGGTTGTCTACTTGAAACAACAGTGACCTTTTTCATATTACAAACTAAAAATGGCTTGAACAACTTTCAGGCAAGTTTGAAGTAATCATAGCACTCCCCTATTACATGAACCTAGCCACGCTCAAATCATCTAATCCAGCACTGACTGCCACTATCCCTCAGTAGTTAGTGTGACACAATGGCATAGGAATTGACCATACAATTGCATGAATGACAAGACTGAAGTTTAAAATTATCAATGGTTTTGAGATGTTTTAGACTAATGTCATGAGTGTTATCCCTGATCTCCTGGTCAGTATTCCTAAGTCAACTTCACACGCTCACAGACTATACTATATCGTTATTATAATGTTGCTGTTTATGGGAATTTGCTACCTGAAAATTGGCTGCTGTGGTTCCTACATTACAATAGTGACAACTTTTGAAATATTTTATCAGCTTTAAAAGGCTTTGAGATACATGTTGATCATGAAAAGCACTGTATAAATGCAAGCTTTTCTTTTGTGAATGTCCCAAAAAGACACTGATGCTTAAATCAGATTATAATAATCTGGTTGCATAAAATGCTCGTTTCATTTCACAAATGTGTTCTCTTGGGAATTGTTACAAAGAATACTAGTCTGCACTTCAAACAGAACTTAAACATGATATAAACATTGTTGCTTAAGATTTGTTCTCAAAGAAAAGTAAGATTACATGTGTAAACGATTGTGGGGGATAAAAGGATTTATATATTTCTCCTCCCTCGTCAAATGTGGCTATTGCAACTTGTATCACCTTGGTTTAGGGTCAAAAATTAATTCACCTTTGGATTTGAGAAGGAATGTGAACTGTTGCCTTCTGGTTCTGATATATTAGATGCACAGGAGCAAGTTAGGCATGTTTTTATGTGATAAATTATAGATTTTCCTTTAAAACAAATTAAGAGTGCATGATAATCCAGGATTATTTATGCTTATGATTTTTTTTTTGTGTGGCTGAGTTTAAACAGTGTAAACTTAAGATGAAAGAATTGGGAAAAATCCATCATGTTTTTTGTTTGGGAGAATGATTTTCAGAAAGCCCACATACAGTATGAGTAAATCTTGAAACTGAATTTGAGTTTATTCATACCTGTGTGTTTGAATCCTGGACCTGACTTTTGGGGAGTGGCTCATGGGATTGCAAATAGTGAGTGACTTCAGCCTTAAACCTAACTTGAATCTGTACTTTTTCTTTGAAAATTTATTAGGATACAACAGCCATAATTTTCTATTGGTTAAAAATACAGAAATAGTTCATAATGGCATAATGCAACAAGCAGACTGAATGCCTGGACACAGCTAGAATTTCTTCCACAGGTAGTTCTGGAGACGGTGGAGGAATATGTATACATTGTTTCATTTGGCCAGTTAGAATTTACCAGAAATTTAGAAGCTTT